GCCTCCCGGGTAGCTGGGACTACAGGCGCCCGCCACCACGCCTGGCTAATTTTTTTGTATTTTTAGTAGAGACAGAGTTTCACTGTGTTAGCCAAGATGTTCTCGATTTCCTGACCTTGTGATCCGCCCGCCTCGGCCTCCCAAAGTGCTGAGATTACAGGTGTGAGCCACCATGCCTGGCCAGAAAGTGGTATCTTAAAAGAGAACTCCACTTTCAAGATTTTTGGAGAATGATTGCTGTAACCTAGAAAACAAAAAGGCACCTCATTAAAGATGCTTGCCTACCATTGCAGAGATCAGATATTAAGAAAAGAATGAGCCGAGGGTCTTAGATTGCAGTTACAAATACCCAACTATGGCACTTTTCATCCCAAAGAAACTGGACTTCCACATAAATTCATTTTTTTCCTAATTGTAGACAATTTGAAAAAATTGGGAGAGAAAAAGTCCATTTCAACACTTAAAGCCAACCATAGCTATCATTTTATATGCTCCTTAAAGTCTTTTTTTTTCATATTGTAAGCTAATTTGTGCTCATGCTGTATATACAAATTTGCATCTTGATGTAATACCATACCCAGTATGGTAGCACACTTATTTCCTCATATTATGACATACCTTTATTATAATAATTTTACAACTGTTTATTATATAATTGTACCATAATTTACTTAAACCATTGTCTACTTTTGAATTTTATATTATCGTAATTATACTGTGATGAATGTTTCTGTGCACAAAGCTTTCTTCTGAGGGTTATTTCTTGCTGATAGATTCCCGGAGAGAGAATTATATGTCAAAGGCGTTAATGAAAATTTCTAGTTTTTGTTATTTTCTGAAAGGGTTGGTTTATATCTGTGTCTTTTGGCAAAATCACTTTCAGCATCAGAAAATAGGACACTAATCTGAAAAACGGGACAAATATATTTATGGAGTATTGGGGGGCAGAATATTTGAAATTGGAACTATTCAAAGAAATCCATTTCTTCTGGTTGCCATATTCACAAATAATATATTATGATTACATTTTGGAGGAAACTTTCGGAGGGATTAAGGAGATATTAAGTTCATGAATTCAGGTAAAGATCTTTGTGCATGGTAGATGTCTTCTATCTTAAAGAACTATCAATAATGTACCCTGATCAAACCTCCTTTAAAAACTAAACTAATCTGGGCCGGGCACGGTGGCTCACACCTGTAATCCCAGCACTTTGGGAGGCCGAGGCAGGCGGATCACCTGAGATCAGGAGTTTGAGACCAGCCTTATCAACATGGAGAAACCCTGTCTCTACTAAAAATACAAAATTAGCTGGGCGTGGTGGTGCATGCCTGTAATCCCAGCTACTCGGGAGGCTGAGGCAGGAGAATCGCTTGAACCCGGGAGGCGGAGATTTCAGTGAGCTGAGATCGCGCCATTGCACTCCAGCCTGGGCATACAGAGCAAGACTCCGTCTCAAAACAACAACAACAACAACAACAACAACAAACTAAACTAATCTGAGTACTATCAAAATTTTTTAAACACTATTTCAAAATTTTTAAAACCCTATCTCTGTAATGTGAATGGGTACAGGAAAGTTTTATAAGCTATAGCTCCTTATCAGTGTTATTTTCTCTCAAGTCTGTTCCATTTTGTTTGTTTCAAAACATTTTGGTACATTCTGCTATCAAAGCATAGTCTTAATGGAAGTGGAAGTAGGATCACTATAACAGGAACTCAATACATACTGAATTAGCTTATTATTTAACTCAGTAAGTACTTGTTTAAACTGAATGTTTAAAATTAGACATTGTCAGGCCAGGCCTGGTGGCTCACGCCTGTAATCCCAGCACTTTGGGAGGCCAAGGCAGGCAGATCACTTGAGGTCAGGAGTTTGAGACGAGCCTGGCCAACATGGTGAAACCCTGTCTCTACTAAAAATACAAAAATTAGCCGGACATGGTAGCGGGCACCTGTTATCCCAGCTACTTGGGAGGCCGAGGCAGGAGAATCACTTGAACCCAGAAGATAGAGGTTGTAGTGAGCTGAGATCATGCCACTGCACTCCAGTCTGGGCAACAGAGTGAGACTCTCCAAAAATAAATAAGTAAAATAAAATAAAATAAAATAATAAAAAAAATAAAATCAGACATTGTCAATGGGCCTTGGCAATAGTGTTTTATAACCAGTACATATTATCAAAAAACAACTGAGATCACTCTTACTAACCTATGTTTCTGAAACAGATGTCTGAGGATAAAAAGGATGAAGGCAGTGGGACAAGTACTTCAGTAAGGAAAGGTGAGAACCAGTGCCTATTTGGTATTGGGCTATGAGGGGAAGAATATGTGTGGTGTTGCATGCCTGTAGTCCCAGCTACTCAGGAGGCTGAGGCAGGAGGATTGTTTGAGCTAAGCAGTTCAAGACCACAGCTTGAGCAACATAGTGAGACCCAGTATAAAAAAAAAAAAAAAAAAAAAGAAAAATGAAGAAAGAAATTTGTGCTGAGTGTGGAAAGCAAACAACAGAGATGAACAGCTTAGAGCATTGTCAGACTTTGCACACCAGAGAAGGCCCATTGGGATTGGGTGAGTTTTTGCTTTTGGACTCCCTAGCGCAGAGGGACAGTTTAGCTGCTTAACAAGAAGCTATGAATTACTGGGAGGTGGAGCTCAAGTTCTTTTTTCACTCCTTAGCACTCTCCCTTCACATTGCTTGCCCTTCCCACACCCTCACTGTTAGTGCTATTACAGGATTATGAGCTGTCTATGACATCTTTTTCAACAACCTATAAGCAGTGGTGTGCTGGTAAATGTTTAACACTGGCTCTCCAAAACTCCTGTGTGTACATATGCTTACTAAAAATGTTACTGATATAAAGGTTGCATGTCATCTCAGCACCCCCAGAGGCTGAAGTAGAACTGCTTGAGGCTAGGACTTCAAGATCAGCCTGGAGAACATAGCAAAACCCTATCTCTTAAAAAAAGAAAATTAGGGCCAGGTGCGGTGGCTCACGCCTGTAATCCCAGGACTTTGGGAGGCCGAGGCAGGTGGATTACGAGATCAGGAGATCGAGACCATCCTGGCTAACATGGTGAAACCCCATCTCTACTAAAAATACAAAAAAATTAGCTGGGCATAGTGGCGGGCGCCTGTAGTCCCAGCTACTTGGGAGGCTGAGGCAGGAGAATGGCATGAACCTGGGAGGCAGAGCTTGCAGTGAGCCGACAGCATGCCACTGCACTCCAGCCTGGGTGACAGAGCGAGACTCTGCCTAAAAAAAAAAAAAAAAAGAAGAAAATTAGCTGGCATGGTTGTTTGCACCTGTAGTGTCAGCTACTTAGGAGGCTGAGGCAACAGAATCACTTGAGCCCAGGAGTCCGAGGCTGCCAGTGAGCCATGATCATGCCACTGCACTCCAGCCTGGGCAGCAGAGCGAGTTCCTGACTCAAAAAATTAAATAAATAAAAATTAAATAAGTAAATATATATCACACTATTTATAAATAATAAAATATACAATACTCCTTATGGCCAATTTCATATAGACAACTGATTCTGACAAAACGCTCTCCTTGATTTTTGCCAGACCCTTGCACCTTAGCCAACCATGGCTGCAATTGATGAACAAGTATAGTTTCAGCGTGAATGTCATTTTCCTCTAAGCTAAGGAGTGAGATGAAAGCGAAGCAGAAGATAGATGTATGTTGGAAGTTAACTTGGTTGTCAGTGATGTGAGTGACTTCTTTGCTGGAATGGATAATAGTTCTAAAATACTGGAAGAATATTTCCTCATTTTGCAGGGTTAGTCACAATGTAGTGGCTACAGGGATGACACTGAAATGTAATATGCATTAGTAACATGTTCTCCATCATTTTCTTAAGCCTAGACAATCAACAAAACCATACATCAAGCCCTGATGTTTAGTATTTGCTGATTTTCATGGTATAAATACTTCCACCAAAGCTGATTTTAAGCTACCCACAGCATGTCATTGAACATGGAGTTGGGAGGAGATGTGCAGTAGTGTATCCTTAACATAGAATTTCCGCTGGGCGCAGTGGTTCGCACCTGTAATCTCAGTACTTTGGGAGGCCAAGGCGGGTGGATCTCCTGAGGTCAGGGGTTCCAGACCAGCCTGGCCAATATGGCAAAACCCTGTCTCTACTAAAAATACAAAAAAATTAGCTAGGCATGGTGGCATGTGCCTATAATCCCAGCAACTAGGGGGGCTGAGGCAGGAGGATCGCTTGAACCTGGGAGACAGAGGTCGCTTGAACCTGGGAGACAGAGGTTGCAGTGAGCCGAGATCGTGCTACTGCACTTCAGCCTGGGCAACAGAGCAAGACTCTGTCTCAAAAAAAAAAAAAGAAAAAAGAAAACACAGCATAGAGTTTCCAACATCCAAATACAACAGACATAAAAAACCAGAAGAGCACACAGCATAATCAAATGTAGTAAGATAATTAGGAAGTGAGGGGTTTTGAGTATTTATTACTTCTATTTTTATTAATTGAATGTATTGTAAATTGGTATAATTTAATTTTTAATAATGGCTATGTTTAACTATCTTGCAAAATTACTGAAAGTTTATCAGCTCTTCTGAGCGGGTACAAGCCAACTTCAGCACACCACTACATAAAGGAAAGATCCTTCTTAGTTCCTGCTCCCCAAATCACATTCATATACGTGCTTGAATCTTTAAGAGTTCAATTTTCAAAGGAAAAAAAGGTTCTTCCCTAGAAAAGTTTAAAGATCTTTTCCTTTGATCTTATGTTTAGCATCCACAAAACTTCAAAAGTGATATGTCAAGCATCTATCTAAGCTCTCCGGTCTGCAGGAGTTGGGATATGGTACTGAAAAATGCAGTCAGCTGCCAACACTTGCAGGTGACTGGAGAAAAGCAATGGCTTGACAAATGGCCACTAAGAGTGAGCTATATGTGCACAGGCTTCTTAAGTAATAGGAATTTATAGTAACCAACAATGTTACTAACTTGATATGTTTCATTGGTTGTTAGCAAGCAAAGAGACTTCCTACAAGTGGCAAAGCAAAGACGGTGCCTGGGATCCCTCACAGACAATGAAGAAACCAAAGCAGAACCAACTTACTCCTGTAACCAACTCAGAAGTGGCTTTGGTCAATGCCTATCTTGAGCAAAGACGAGCCAGGCGCCAGTCTCAGTTCAATGAGGTGAACCAGAACCAACGTGACAGTGATACCACGGAGTGTGGCAGTGAAGAATCTAACTCAGAAGCCTCCTCATGGAAGGAGAGTGAAAGTGAACACCACCCATCACCAGACAGTATTAAGAGGAGAAAAATGGCTCAGAGGCAAAGGAATCTGGGAAGTTACCAAATGAGTGAAAGGCACTGTCTGCACTGCAAAGCCATGAGAACCAATGAATGGTTGGTGCACCATTCCCAACAAAAGGCTTCAGTAACACCGCCAATGAAAGGAGACAGTCCAGAGGAAAGTTCCATATCTGACATTAACACGAAATTTAGTAAATTTTGAATTTTATCACGTTCTTCCCTCACTTGAGGCCGAATGAAAGAGATGAATAAAACATGAAAAATCACCAGAGCTCTAGGTGAGGAGGCTTTTACAACAAAGTCTCTCTACCAACAAACAAAAACATACTTGGAACCCAAGAGGTAAAATCTCACACAATTCTTTGTTCAAAAAAAGGCCATCGAATGTGTTTATGGCACCATTAGAACACCGAAGATCTGTATCTGCGATGATTTTTTAATTTGAAATAGCACAAGACAGATATTTTATGCCTTGAGTGTATGTATTTTGTTTATGTCTGTAATACGAATAAGAAAGCTCTTTGAAAATGTATTATTTATGTTGAGAAACCACTTAAATGTATTCAGATGTTTTGCTTATCTGACTGACTGAATGAACTAGGTGAAGTTGGTTGGAATAGAATTGCCACATCCTGTCTAGGTTGACATTGCCACACATGTCAGCTAGGGGCTAGTGTGGAAGAGGAGCTCAAGAGGCTGGAGTAAGATCTGATTCCTGGAGTAGTTAAGTGGGGCCACCAGGTGTGGGGAATGTAAGCAGGCTTAAGTAAATGGGTGGTCAGTCTGGAGATCATCTTCCCAGAATAGAAATGGGAAATAGGGTGGATGGCAGGACCCCAGCTGGGATAGAAAACAAGGCCCAGATCCCAGAGGAGAGGGCTGGCAAGCACAAGATGAAGCAGCAGGGACTCTTATCTTGCGGCTATAGTTCAAAGCAGGGCCTAAGTCTTGGGGGAAGCTGGGTGCGGTGGCTCATGCCTGTAATCCCAGCACCTTGAGAGGCCGGCAGGAGGATCACTTGAGCCCAGGAATTCGAGGCTAGCCTGGGCAAAATGGTGAGATCTTGTCTTTATTGGGGGGGGGAAAAAAAAGTCTAGGGTAAGGACTTGGGTACTATGTGTGGTTAAGACTACAGGCCAATACTAAGGACTCAGCCTTTCATGGGAGACAGGTAGGGGATGGGGACAGAGACCAGACAGCAGCGACTTTGGGCCCAGGAGTCATTCCTGATAAGAGCAGATTCCTCAACTGAATACAACAAAGATTCCTGGGAGGCAATGAGGGAGTCCCAACCACTGGGACTAGGCCACTAGAATCCACAAAACAGGGTAACATTTCTCAGCCTATTTGTGGAGGCTTTGTCTTATTCAGATTGCCTCAGGATTAGAACAGGTCTGAAGGCACAGGAGAGAAGCAGTGAAGCTGTCCTCACAGCGTTAACAAGAATTCTAGACAGAAATATAGTTATAAATAAGCACTAATCAGGCTGCACTTTGACCTACTTCCTTGTAACCCAAAGTCACTAGATCCTGACCATTGGTATCCCCATTGTTCCTACAGATGGGATTTTTGACATTAGAATTCTAAGTCTTTTGTTTAAGAACTGCTTAAGATGTTTTTCAGGTCCTAAATTCTAAGGAAACAGCTAATGCTAACCAGTTTGAAGAACCCGCAGAGGAATGGAATCAGCATGAGAATACAGTTTCATCATCTCCCTGTCCATGACTTCACGCTGCACTCTTTGACCCCTCAGTGATCTCCACACTTTGGCCCACTCCATGATCCTTAAAATCCTAGCCCCCAAATCCTCAGGGAGATGGATTTGAGGTTCCCTTTCATCTCCTCATTTGGCAGACTTATGATTAAACCTTTCTCTGCTGCAACCTGGGATCTCAGTGTATTGACTTGTTGCACATGAAACTGCCTTTGCAAAATCATGACAGTAAGAGAAATCTGACATAGCTGACTCCATCTTGCTTCTGACCTTTAAGCTGTCCTTGGCCATTCTTGGGCATGGGCCAAGCTAACTTTGGGAGGAATTTACAGTTTAACCTTGAAGCAAGGATGACAATACTCCTTCCCCAAAATAAACCACCTTTGTAAAACTAATGAAAGGCCACAAAATTAGGATTATGAGAGGTTCTTGAATTCTGAGAAGATGTAAGCATAGTTTCTGTAAACTCTTACTGCTGAGGAGTCATGTGGCCAGAGATGACAAGGTTTGTGTTATCCCCAGTTGCTCCTATAGATAACATCACGATCACTGTGGAACCTAAAATTGGTTTTTTGAGATGTCTTTCAGACTGACCTCACCCAGACCTGTGATGCATGACTCAATTGGTCCTGTGGCCCCACACAGAAGCAGACTGGGTGCATGAGGACCATTTTCCACACCCCTGTGATTTCATTCCCACTCAATTGGCAGCACCCACTCCCTAGACCCCTGCCCACCAATTTACCTATAAAAAGCCTAGCCCCTGAGCCTTTGTGGAGACTGATTTGAGTGATAACTTCAGTTCTTCTGCATGGCCAGCCTCGTGTCAAACTCTTTACTGCAATGCCGTGGTCTTAGTGAATTGATCTTGTCTAGGCAGCAAGCAGGAAGAACCTGTTGGGTGAATGCATGCTTATCAGGCAGCAGACCGATTATGGTTACAGCAGAACAACTTCGAGATTCAGTAGTTCAAGCATTGACCTTTTCCACAAAAACTTTCCTTGCTGGCACCACCCAGATCAATAAACTGGCTCATCTGATCTTGTGGCCCCCACCAGGAACTGACTAAGCACAAAAAGACAGCTTCAACACCCTATGATTTCATATCTGACCAATCAGCACTCCCGGCTCACTGGCTTCCCTGCACCCATAGTTGTCCTTAAAAACTCTGATCCCCTGGCCAGGCGCAGTGGCTCATGCTTGTAATCCCAGCGCTTTGGGAGGCCAAGGTGGGCAGATCATCTGAGGTCAGGAGTTCGAGACCAGCCTGACTGACATGGCGAAATCCCGAAATCCCATCTCTACTAAAAAATACAAAAAATTCGGGCAGATAATGAGGTCAGGAGATCGAGACCATCCTGGCTAACATGGTGAAACCCCATCTCTACTAAAAATACAAAAAATTAGCCAGGCATGGTGGCAGGTGCCTGTAATCCCAGCTACTTGGGAGGCTGAGGCAGGAGAATGGCGTGAACCTGGGAAGCAGAGCTTGCAGTGAGCTGAGATCACGCCACTGCACTCCAGCCTGAGTGACAGAGTGAGACTTCATCTCAAAAAAAAAAAAAAAAGCAAAACAAAAAATTAGCTGAGCATGAGCATGGTGGCACATGCTCATAATCCCAGCTACTCAAGAGGCTGAGGCAGGAGAATTGCTTGAACCTGGGAGGCGGAAGTTGTAGTAAGCTGAGATCACACAACTGCACTCCAGCCTGGGCAACAGAGCAAAACTCCGTCTCAAAAAACAAAACAAAACAAACAAACAAACAACAACAACAACAAAAAACCTCTGATCTCCGAATGCTCAGGGATACTGATTTGAGCAATAATAATACTTCGGTCTCCTGCAAGCCAGCTCCGTGTGAATTACTCTTTCTCTATTGCAATTCCCCTGTCTTGATAAATTGGCTCTGGCTAGGCAGCAGGCAAGGTGAACCCAATGGGCAGTTACAATAATCCTAATTTTCATGGCCTTTCATTAGTTTTACAAAGAAAATTTCAGTCCCTGAGTAAGGAGAGAGTTAGTTTTAGGGAGAAACTATTATCATCCTTGCTTCAAAGTTAAACTATAAAATAAATTCCTACACCTAGGAGTGAGCAAGGCCAACCAGCTCATGAGGCTAGAGGCAAGATGGAGTTAGCCATGATGGATTTTTCTCATCATCATAATCTTTGCAAAGGTGGTTTCCACCTTATGACATCAGCTTGCCTCCTCTGCAAGGATTAAGCCTGGCCAGCTTAAGACAAAAAGGGGGAAATGGAGACTTAGCTGGAAGCATTGGTGAGGATAGAAATGAACTTTGCACTGCCTGTTGAGAAACAAGGGACAGTAGGAACTAAAACAGTGAGGTCAATGGCCAAGGGTTTGAGTGGAGGAGAAGGAGGAGGTGCTCTGGTTTCAGACCACGTGGGGAGTGAGAACTTTCATGTGAGTGGGCTGCCTTGCTCCATCATCCCAGGACATGGTGAACCATAGAATAAGGAGCAAAACCATGGTCAGGTGCAGATCTGGTGAGATGAGACGGTTATGAAGCTGGGACTACAGACACTAGTCATGGCTAGATGTTGCTTTTGTGCAGAGTCTGGTGTGGGCTCTACACCAAGCTGAACACCATCAAGAAAACCAGATAGCAACTATGACTATTCCCCAATGCCACTCCTTTATCTTATGAAGGCGTACTATCTTCCAGCACACTCTAGAAGTAGTATTTTGAAAATGACAACCCATTAGCAGATTGTGAAATCAATTTAGTGGATCGTGATTTGCATTTATTAAATAATAAACAGAAAATTGGTTGGGTGCGGTGGCTTACATCTATAATCCCAGCACTTTGGGAGGCCAAGGTGGGTGGATTACTTGAGGCCAGGAGTTCGAGACCAACCTGGCCAATATGGCAAAAACCTGTCTCTATTAAAAATACAAAAATTAGCCGGGCATGATGGTACATGCCTGTAATCCCAGTTGCTTGGGAGGCTGAGGCAGGAGAATCATTTAAACCTGGGAGGCAGAGGTTGCAGTGAGCTGAGATCATGCCACTGCACTCCAGCCTGGGCGACAGAGCGAGACTCTGTCTAAAAAATAAATAAATAAAAGTAATAAACAGAAAGTAACAGTGTATCACACTTAACAAGGGTAAGTATTAAGTGTGTGTATGTAATGAATTGCAATGTAAAATGTATTTCTTATTATGTGTGATAAGAGAAAAGGGCTGAGCACAGTGGCTCACACCTGTAATCCCGGCATTTTAGGAAGCTGAGGCAGGAGGATCACTTGAACTCAGGAATTAGAGACCAGCCTGGGCAACAAGTAAGACCCCTCTCTATAAAAATATTTAAAAATAAAAACAAACAAACAAACAAACAAAAAACCCCAAAAGTCACTGCTCTAAAATAGTTTTCTTTGTAGATTTTCCCATATCATCTAGCGATACCACTAAATTAGTGAAGACAATATCACTCCATGCTTTCCCAATTGTATGCTAGGAATTAGTAAATCCTCACCCACACTATACGATGGACCAACTGTCTAGATTAGTGGAAAGCTTGAATTAAATTATACTACTTTAAAAGAACTTCAGGTTTATTATTTTCAAATACAGAAAGTGGAAGCAAGCTAACCAACTGTTGCCTGGTACACAGGGGTGGGTTTTGGCTTGGTGAATAGACAAGAGTTATTTGTAATTGACATTTCAAAGAAACCTAAGAAACAGGCCAGCCTTTGTTTAAATCATAATTACCCTGTTTGTATGTAAAAAAATACTTCTACAGCTTTTCAAAACAACTGGTTCTTTTAAGCAGATAATTATTCCCCTTCCAATCTTGTTTACACTACTATTCAGAACTTCAGTGAACTTTTTTTTTCATAGATAGTACAGAGGTTAACTTCAGCCAGCCCTTCCTCAAATTATCACAAATTCCCAATTAGTGGATTCTAAACAGGGTTTCCCTGTAACAATATGCCGAAGACTTGCACGATGTGTTTTTTATTGCTTTGAATAACATCTGACAAGTTTCCAAGTACCAGGCCACCTGGATATTGTCTATCTGTCAGGAACATGTGGTCAAAGAGGTGGGTGGGAGGGTGGGGGGAATATAAATCAGGCCCATACATTCCTATACCATTAGAGGAAGACAAAAGGAAGAAAATGCCTTTTTTTTTTTTTTTCCCCAAGTATCTATTACATACCAACTGAATCTTAAATAATAGGCACTTTTTGGTGTAAGGAAGAGTTGCACTTACGGTCTAAATTTAACAAAACCTCAGATGAAAATAGAAAGCTGACCTTTTTTGTATGTAGACTGGCAGTTACTGGAGAGGCCCAGGGAAGTTAGCAAGACAAAGATGCATTATAAAGAAATTATACTTGTCCTTTCTCATTATTTCTTATTGCAAATTTCCACTCAGTGCACAAAAGGATAATACATGAAATCCTTTTTTTAAACAAAAATTTTACGATCCTGAGCAATACTGTTTTCGAGTTCTTTTATCTTCTGAGCATAGCCTCTTTCACAAGCTGTTCCTCAAGCCACCTTATTGAAGGGGCCTGTTGTCTCTAACTGTCTTTGTTTATTAGGGCCCTCTGTCACCATGAAGTTTCATGTGTTCAAAATCTTGATTTAGCAGTGAGAACACCAGGCTGGGAGCCAACTCTGCTACTAATTAGTGTAAATCACAAAAGGGGAAGTGAAGAGATGAAAACCAGGTCCTCGTGGAAGGGTCTACAGCCAGGGTTAGTGAGACTGACTGGCAGGTCAGAGGATTGAAGAAGAGACAAAAGGGCTTGGAGAAATGCCACTTAGGGCCAGTGTCTTTTTGTCTCTTTTCTCTGATTGTACCCCTTCAGATACAGAAAGGGTCTGAAGTAGCCTCTGTTGATTGTTTTCCTTTCTTCCATTTTGCTCCATTGTTCTTGCTCTTTTACATGATTTACAGTTAAGTTCTGATTGGTCTAAGCCAAGCCTAGTGGTGCCATTCTCCTGGTCCATGAGTGGCTGAAGGGTGAGCATGTAATCTGATTCTGGGAAGGGAAGTTTGCTGGAGGGGGGCATTCTGAGAAAAAAGTTTGTTCAGTCTTTCTTTAAAAAGACATGTGGAGAAAAGAAATAGACCCTTTTCTTTTGGTGGATGCCAGCAAGTCTGCACGTGATGACTGGAACTGTGTGACAGCCAGCTCGTGTCCGTGAGGGCATTCGCCTGAGTATGACAGTGTGGAAATATGGAAAAGACTAGGTCCTGAGC